TAGCTATTTTAGCCAATTTTTTTTATACTTTCCCCATTTTTACAATAAATAAATAAATAAATAAATAAATAATAAAATATGATTACTTCAAACAATTTTTCAACAATTTTATTGAGCTTGAGGCCGTTTTTATTGAAAATTTTTGACGGAATTGACATTTTGGTAGAAGTTATAGCTGCTATTTCGGAGATCATGACATCTCATCAGACTGTTTCAAGTGGGACTCGATCCAACGACCCCAGCCGCCTAAGTCTACCCACTGAGCTTTTAAACTTTTTTCCATTTTCATTAAAACGGCTCAATTAAATTTTTGAATATAATTGTTATAAGGATATAAATATAAACAAGTAAAAAGTCTAAGTTCGGGCGGAACCGAACATTAAATACCCGGCGCAAGTATGAAATATATGTTTTTTCACCTTTCCGAAACCTACCGCTAGATGGTAAGCCGGGGTGTATCAACTTTGAGTAAATTAGCGTCCTTCAATTTCGAAATATTGCAGTTTTAAGCATTTCTAAAATTTCCCGTTATATGAAAAGCGACCGTAATATTAGTCCGATTTCAATAATTTTCAACGTTTTGCTTTTATGTGGCAAGCGCAATAACCATACCGAGTTTGGTACAAATTGGTAGAACGGTTACCGATATACACATATGTGATCATAAGTGGGCGGTGCCACGCCCATTTTCCAAAATTTTACTATAAGCGTATTTCTTGGTAAGGAATTGTTGAAAGCATCAATTTTGAATAAATTAGTTTTAATATTTACTGATTTATCGAAGATTTTGTATTTCTCTAAATTACCGTTATATGGGATTTGGGCGTGGTTATTGTCCGCTTTTTTTAATTTTCGGCCATTTAGTATGTTGTACCAAGGCCAAAAACTGTGCCAAGTTTGGAAAAAATTGGTGCAGCGGTTACCAAGATATACACATGTAACCATAAGCGGACGTGGCTACGCCCATGTTCCAAAAATTTATAATATTCTTATTTTTCGTCTGATTATTGTAAATATCAATTTTGAGTGAATTATCTTCAGTAGTTACTAAAATATCGCAGTTTTCGCATTTCTGGAAATTACTGTTATATGGGAAGTGGGCGTGGTTACGGTCCGACTTCGCCCATTTTCAATACCAACCTACCTTGGATTTATGGAAATCTACATACCAAATTTCGTTGAGATGTCTCAATTTTTGCTCGAGTCATCGTGTACACGGACGGACAGACAGACATGGCTTAATCCACTTCTCTTTTCATTCTGAGCATTTATGTATACATTTGTCTATATCTATCTCGATTCGTTTTGGCTGTTACAAGCAACCGTTATGTGAACAAAATTAATATACCCTTGTGCACAAGTGCGCTCGGGTATAAAAAAAAAAATATTTCAAAAAAATTCGGTGCAATGTAGAATAACAATATGGGTACTAAATGAATTTTTTTTTTTGGTTTACGAAGACGATGAGTATTGAAAAAGCCCTTTTAAATAATTCTATTTCTTTAAGCTTATAAAGTTAGGAGGCCGAAATTCGAGGATGTGGTCGAGAGTATATTACTCCTTAACACCTACATTTTTAATACTTACTTATCCTTAAGCACCACCAATTTAATCTGCTTTCGTTCTATAGATTTTTCTTTTTAATTTGATGCACATACGTTTTTATACATTGCAATGAGTTTTAAAGTAATTTTTTGAAATAATCATAATTGGCGAAATTCAAAGTCCGTTAAAAAATCCTGACGTCAAGAGAAAAACTAAAAACGCAGTCTTCCTTCACAAGGTTTCCTTCACAAAGTTTTCCCTTGAATATTGTTATATCTTCACTGGTTCGTAGAAATGGAAAGGAAACTGTGAAACAAAACCAAGGATATTTTTATATCTTAGGAATAGATTTGCAGATTTGAGCTAAAATTTTAATAATATTTACTAGTCGCAATTATAAGGTATTTTACTACTCCAATTCAATGTATGTAAATATTTAAGTTCATATTTGTTTGCGTTATAATAATCTAGTTATTTAATTTATTTACCTGTTTTTTAAGAAAAATATTTATAGCTATTTTTTTTGGCTATAAAACAAACTTTTTAGCTATTTTTCGAAGGATTTCACTATAAGCATCAAAACTTGCTGGCAATAATGATAGTGACATTTTTGACTTTTTCACGTCTTCGTTTGGTGTTCTCTTTTCTCGATTCATTTTCGCCACCCACCCATCGAATCCGTTTTTATTTTTATGTATCACAATTATCGATATTTATTGAATTTTTTTTATAAAAAATTATCATGAAGTGCTTTAAATATGCAGAAAAATTCATTTTGGGGGAATTTCCTTGAAAATAGGGGAATATTTTCAAGACTTTCGGGGAATTATCCCTAAGAGAGTTGGCATCCTTACTGTTGGCTAGCATTTCAGTTCTTCGCACTCACGATTGCCTCTCTTCTTATTGCGGCAAATACGTCTCGCTTTCCTCTTTAGTGCCGTATAGCGGTCCCACAAAGCTCGCGTTGCGATCGCAGCAGGGCCTTGTAGGCGGCATCCTTTTTCTCTGCAGCTTTGTGACTAGTTCTTCCTTCGGGTTCGCTAAAATCCGACTATTTCTTCGGCGGCAGTTCTTAATAAGCGGAAAATATCGTTCCACTGCTCGCATATGTTTTTTTTTGTTGAGGAGTGCTATCTGAAATAGAGGTGGAGAAAACATCGATGCACTATCGATGTATCGATGTTTTTGCATTTTTGTTAAACATCGATAGTTGATTGCGACTATCGATGTTTCCTTTGTGCACCTCTGCAAATGTAAAGAACGACGAGTTAAAAGAGAACACGCAAAAGCTATGAACTATAAAATTATATTAGTTTCAACTTTACAACATTTTTTTAATTTTTAGGAAATTTCATTCGTGGTGGTGACGGCGGACGTGGAGTAGTGGTAATCTTTCAGCGATGGAGAAACACCTTAAAAGTAAGTATTTATCATATAAGTAAACGCGCATGTGATTTTTCAACATGCACATTTCAAACGCGTGCGTATGTACATATGTTTATGTTGGACATACATTGTGTTATGGCTTTAATTGTATGATTTATATTTAATAGGAACATCAAAGGAAAACTGCGAGGCTGAGTCCCCAAAACGTAAGCGGGAAGGCTCTATTGTTTGGCAGCATTTCGAGAAAACCAACGACAGGACAAAGGAGATATGCACTTACTGCGGAAAAATGTTAAAAACGGCAGGCAACACGACGAACCTCACGGACCATTTAAAACGCATACATCCCAATCGCCTCACTGCAGAGAAACTTCTTGTATCAACAAAGTTGGATGCATTTTTATTTCGTGATGTGCAGTGATAGTATGATGCCTTATAATGGAAAACATTTGATCTCTTTTTTAAATACCTATGTATGTACATATGTATGTTCGTAGTCGACAATCTTATGTTTCTAAACTAAAATCAAAATATTTTTGAAGACTTATTGGGTTTATTTGATCTCTTTTTTTAATATGTTCGTAGTCGACAAACTTATTTTTATAAACAAAGATCAAAATGTTTTTAAAGATTTAATTAAAAATATTTCATATCTTTTTAAAAAGATGTATGTTAATCCCAATGAATAAATATGTTACGTTTATACAATCTTTATGTACCAACTTAATTTTGACTTTGAGCGCCTTACTCTTTTCAGAACAATCGATGTTACATCGATAGTTGGTTTCAAAACATCGAAAACATCGATGGTAGCAAACATCGATGTTTCTCCACCTCTAATCTGAAAGCAGGTGTGAGAGTCGAGTAGCGAATGCATTTGCCGTCTCTTCTGACTGCAGCCTTTTGACGTTGAGCTTTCCTTGCATTTTTGGGCGCACATTTTTTGCTGTACAGAGACTGGTGCGTATCTTGGCTACAACAAGATAGTGGTCCGGGTAAGTGTTTGGGCCTCGAATTGCACGTAGGTATAAAACGCTGGAAGCGTGCCTTCCGTGTATCACAACATGATCGATATGGTTTCTCGTTTTTCGATCTGGAGACAGCCACGTAGCCTGATGGATATTTTTATGCTGGAACCTAGTACAGTTAACTACAGTTCCAAAGATTCCTTCCTTGCCCACCCTGGTATTGAAGTCGCCAAGCTCGATTTTGATGTCATGGCGGGGGCAGCGCTCATATGTGTGCTCCAAGCGCATATAAGAGTACACTTCATCATTCTCCTCCGTCGGGTCGGGAGTCGGTGATATAGTCTCTCTCCCACCACAAAAGCAACACCGAATTAGCCCTCCTTTACATGGCAGCTGTACTAGAAGTCGCAAGGCCCCATGCATTTATTTCTTGCCCCGTCCAACGCATTTCTTGGATGGCGGTAATGTCAGCTTTTGTACTTACGAGAACATAAACCTGCCGAGCAGAGGAACTTCCTCATTAAGGGTCCGGACATTCCAATCGAATGCACTTAAATCGTAGTTCTTTAAACCTTTGCCGTAGTCTTCATCAAAAAGGGGTCTCATCGGAAGCTTTATTTTGCTTCTTCACTGGAAGTGATTTTTACTTGGGTGGTTCCAAACCCAGCGCACATCCCATTGTTGGGAGCGGGGTGGTTTCTTAACCAAATACACTTTTATATAGCGAGCCGGTTGCTCCGTGACAGACGCCCGCTTGCAGCCGCACCTACTGGTGGACAGACGCTTCATACTTCAGTGAGCCCTCGAACCCAATATGTCGAAGCCCTCTCTCTTTCTGCCGTGACTCAAACCTCCACTCGGATTGGTTACCGCGTCTCGCACATGGGTTGTTCACGTTGCCCATAGTGCGCGAACGAGGACGCGAAATTCGGGTTTGAGTATAGCTGTGCAACTGTATCTCCATACCGTGAACAACGACTATACTCCATTGCATACTGTTATTCTACATAAAAAATAACATAAAAAAAGTCTCAAAGTTAGGGCCGAAATCTAAAGTGGCAACACTAGTTGTACATATGTATATCGTTTTTCGCTTCCACATAAGGCTAGAAACACACTGGGGTAAGAACAGACAGCGCAAGTTTGAACATTGCCAACGCAGAAACAACGTTTGCATTAATTTTAATGCAAATATCAAAACTTAATCAATTTAAGAGTACAAATAAAAATAAAATACAATTCTGCTCTCCTTCGGCTTATACCTGTCCAATTTGACTTGCATATAGTCAAACGTTTCCGCGCAATAGCAGTGCTTTCTACGCGCCGCCCTCAACTATGTACATACATATATTTCTGGCCTGAGGATGAGTGGAAGACAAAAGGTAACTCTCAGCGAGCGAGTGAGCATGAAAACGAGACACAGCCAAAGTTAGACATATGTATGTATATCTACATATATACGTATCGCTCATTTACTTCAATACTGTCATAACTCAAAAATCCAAAAATTCGCTTTAGAGTTTTGAATTTACACATATACTCCCGTAGTAAAAATAAACATATCTTATGCTAGTGAGCTACTGGTAATCGCTACAGCTATGAAATTTTTACGCAGCATAGAACAGGTAGCGGTCATTTCTGCATATTTCTGCATACTTTACTACATTTTGTATTGTATTGGATTATGACACTATTGAATTAAATGAGCGATTTGTATATACATACATGCATATGTAGCTCAATAAGCACTTTGTGCGCTCGACACTTTTCTGTATATTTATTTTTGTCGAAAGCAGGTAATTGTGTTTTGTGTGTCTTCTCGTCGTATTTTGTCAAGCGTTGTATGCCACAAGTTTGCTTAAAGTAGTTTTTCCCACACTACGCACAAATAATTGAAAATTGGAAAGAAAACATATACTCTTGCTATTGAAAACTATAAAGAGGCAGGCGGGCGAGAGGCGCGGGTCGAAATGTTCTACTGAAATTATGTAGGATAAAAAATACTATACCGCGTGCATTGTCAAACTGTTTAACTCAAAGAAGGTACATTGTACTTAGCGCCATCGCCTTAGTTGGCCAAGATTTTTTGTGTACCATTTAGTGAGATAAAGTAGCAACCAAAAAGAAAATACAGCCAGCTAAGCGTATGAAAAATCGAAATCGCGTAAGTAAACTACTAAAATTGTGTTTGACGCCGAAGCTAAAAATAAAAACCATCAACAAAACAAAACGTGTCAAGGAAAATTCAATAAACAGCATCATCAATTCCGCAAATCATAAAATCTGAATGAAAATCAGAAAATCAATCATATTGGCTGCATACTCTGTGATGAAAAAGAATTTTGCAACATCGAATTGCAAAATTTTGGGTCAGTTTTAATTAAAGGTGCGTAAAGTGGTGAAGTGAATTCCATTTTCCTTTAAACTATTGGCTGCGGGATGTGTCGGTTTTTGAGAAGATTTGAGGCAGAGGATTCGTGCTTTTGTGTTTGACAAAGTATTCGAAGAAAGATGATACATCCCAATAAACACAACGAATTCCCTTCGAATTCGAGACGAGCTCGTTTTCTCTGATAGAACCAAGGTGTATTTAACAAGGTGGTGTTGGCCGTATATAAGTAAAAAATTACACTAACAAATTATACGCAGATATCCATACTGTCATTGGTATGAGTTACAACAAACACATCATTTTGACGTAATGCCCTCCACGGCGAAAAACTCAGCTATTGCCCCAACACCACCTTGTTAAATACACCTTGGATAGAACTATCGAGACGATACTTCACAGCGATAAATCGGCGAATTCGAATTCGTAGGAGAGGCACCTATCGTTAGCGAATCGAGTATTACTAGTTTTTCGAATCGTTGGCGTTTTGATAATTTTTTTCTTCAAATCGCTGGCGATTCGAGAACTTTTAATTTTTCTAATCATTGGAGATTCTATAACTTTTATTTTTCGGATCGTTGGCGATTCGAGAGTTTTTTCTTTTTCGAATCGTTGGATATTCTATAATTTTTATTTTTCGAATCGTTGGAGATTCTATAATTTTTATTTTTCGAATCGTTGGAGATTCTATAATTTTTATTTTTCGAATCGTTGGCGTTTCGAGAATTATTTATTTTTCCACTCGAGATTTCAGCTCGCTATTAGCTTGAGATCCCAAGTTTTATAGGATTTAAAAAACTAGCTATCTGAAATTAGTTCTATAATATAAATAAACAAAAGGTAAAAAATGTGCGGAAATTATGAGTTACATGTTAATAAATTTATTAAAAATGTGAATCCGTATTTAATTTTTAACAACATAAATAAACAGTAATTTTTTTGGGGGAAATTAAGATTTTTAATTAATTTAAGAGTTATTCGCAAGAAAACACTTGCACTTTGCACTTTTCGCACCATGTTTTGATGAACTTGATGCAAATAAATGGAGTAAATGAAAGTTGTTCTCTCACAGAAAGGAGAATTCTACTGCCTGAGAGTTATAACCCCTAAGTGCGGCCGAAGGCCGCCTACGCAGAAAGGTGTTCTCTGCAAAAGGTGTTCAGCCCCCCTTCTTTGGCAACACAGAAAGGAGAATTCTACTGCCTGAGGGTTATAGTCCCTAAGTGCGGCCGAAGGCCGCCTACGCAAAAAGGAGTTGGACGCCTGGTTCAGCTAAAGTGCACTTTTACCAAATTAATAATTTGTTCGCTTAAGACCCTGGGTGCCTTCGTATATGCATTAGTGAATGGTATCAGGGCCATTTATGTCATCACCCACGCCAAGCAAAGGTGACCTTCTACTCAGAAAAAAAAATCTGCGAAATATATTTCTCTCAACACATGATTTGGTAATACTTACCAAATCTTGTTTTGAGAAAAATTTATTTAGGTGACTTATCTGAGTGTATGAGCACTCATAAATTATTTATTTTTTTGATTGTGCCTCGAAGACGATGCAAGAAAAAAATCCTTCGAGAAAACTGATTTACACGAGCTCGCCTCGAATTCGAAACGAGCTCAAAAAATATATTCGAGAAATTTAATTTCTCGAGGTCGTCTCGAATTCGATACGATGTCGCCCTCATTTTTGTGTTTATTGGGATATTTTATTATTGTTTTTTCTTTAGTGTTGTGATATTGTCGTCGTTGCAACGAGCATAACGTGTAGTGGAGAAAGAAGAAGCAAGAGCAAATACGCCACTGCAAATATGTAGCTACATAAGAGTTCACCCAACTAAAAACTGAAGAGAAGACTTCGTAAGAAAGGTAAGCAAGCAAGTGGTTCAGTTGCAAGTAGTACAGGCAAGGCAGCCCAGTGGGAATATTTAATTCTTAGTAATGTACAAAGTAATGCATCGCCCTATAGCCGATAAATTACCAGATGCATGTCCTAGGAAAGTAATGTGTCACTACATATAAATTTTATAAATAAATAAAACAAAAAAAATTGCGTCCGTGCTACAAGGCTTGAGCCCGCGACTAACAAGTGGTAGTTGAACACGCATCGGCTGTTCAGATAACATGAAAAGAGACATACATATGTATGTATGTATGTGCAGACATTAGGGCGGGTCAATTTGTATGGATCGATTATTTTCGACATCGTTCCTAGCGGAATCGGATTCTTCATAAAATTCTAAAACAAAATTCCTACAGACCATAGCTCTAAAGTCAATTTCGAGCCTGCGCGATTTTAAAAGAAGATATCTTTAATTGATGCTAAGTTAATATGCAGATTAGTATTTACTAAAGTGTTACGAATGTTATTTTTTTAATACAAATTTGTATTTGGGGGTTTTTTGGTACAAAGAATTAATTTTCGATATCTATTTCTTATTTAAAGATCCGTTTAAAGATTGTTGGTGGAGATAATTCTCTCTCTGGGGAGGTCCCATACTAATTTGTGATCATTGGATCATGAAGAAATTAACGGTACTTCTAAATTTTTATATGAGAATTGAAGTCGGTTGTGTTTTTTGCTTAAAAATTACTTGTTATTGTAACAATTGAGGTGGTCCGAACCCTGCAAAGGAATTTATATTGCATACAGTTTATTATGAACTTATTGAAGAGCTAAAATACAAATTTGTTAGTTACCTTAATTGCTGTTAATTACTGTTATCATCAGGGTATTATTATTAGGGCATATAGCGCTGCGAGCTATTTAGATCTATTATGCTAACCTTTATCTAGTTACTCCAACCTTATGCTATTAATGAAATTAAGCCATTTGGAGTGTGATGTTCCACTAGCTCGTTTCTGTAACTTTTCTCTACCGATTATTTCTCTACTCTACTCATTAGCAGTAGAGAACAAGGCGACGAATTCATATATTAATTCGCCTTGGTAGAGAATTGAGATACGAATTCGCCGCACTGTTCTCTACTGCTCAAGGCGAATTTATACAGGGTGGTGTAGTATGATCAGCTGATTTCTTCGCCTTACATGTACGTATTTTGTTTTTGCTTTTACTGATTTGACAGCACATCCATCAAAAGCAAAAACCAAAACACATGTAAACTTTGGGGCGAATTGAGATTTGACATAACACCCGCAATACAAAATAAATGTTGTTGTTGTTGTAATCTAAATTCGCCAGTAACACCACCTTGTATAAATTCGCCTTGCTACTGTTCAAGGCAAATTTATACAAGGTGGTGTTACTGGCGAATTTAGATTTTCGCCGCAATAAGCAAATGGATGTATAGAATTGACAACAACAACCACGCTGTCAAGTTTAAATAGCGGCAAATCAGCTGCACTTGATAGTAGTTGGTTGAATAAGGAAAATGAATTAGCAACAAGAGTTTACGGGGTGTACATCGGTCAGTGGTTAACGCTTTTGACTTTGCACATCGATTACGCAGGTTCGATCCCTGCTGAAGGCTAGAAAAAAAAGAAGTCTGATGAGGAGATGTGGTGATCTCCGAAATAGCTGCTATAACTTCGACCGCTTAGACTTTGTTGTTTTTTAAATTTTTCCTAATAAACAATCGTGGTACAAAGCTCAATAAAAAAAAAAAAATAAATTTGTATCAGCTGTTCGTCTGACTTGCAAGTTTCTGCAAATTTTCGGTTACCCCTACTATTTTGGATATCTTGCTCTTGTGAGAGAGCAGATGGCAATTCGCTGGAATTTTGTTGTTGGACATTTTTTACTGGAGATTTAAGTGAACGTACTTATTGACCAACCAACATTTAACAGAACTTTTACGAACGGTTTTAATTGACGTAAAACCAGATTTTGAAAATTTAGCCAAAGGGATCTTTTGAATTTTCTTTAATATCTATAAATAATATTAATAAAATTAATGTTTTTCATTTGTAATAACAACTTTATTTAAAAATGAAATTTTTGTTTTTGTTATTTTTTTTTTGCTCTTTGTAGCATTTACAAGTTACATGGGGCTCTTTTCGGCCTCGGCCTTGCCCACCCCTGGTATAGTCCAACCTTTCCCAGTGTCTGTCCAAGGGCTTTATTAGCCGTAATCTGAAACGCAATAATTACTGAAAATTGGCGCTGTTTATGGTGAAAGACATTTAGTATCACACTTTTAAACTAAAGCTTTCTTAACCCTTTCAGTACAAAATTCAACCACTGACTGATTCTAAAAGTTTTTAAATATGTATATCGGTTAATTTTGGATAGTTCATTTAAAAATCACATCAAAAAAAATGTAAAGCTTTGTCGTCATTCAGTGTCCTTTTTAATGGTCAGTGATATCCTAGGTCTTTAAAAAAAGTTATCTTAACTGTTTTTATTTTTTGCTTTCGTGAATAATACCTTTCCCGAAAATTCCGAAACTATTTTTCAACAGATTATATTACTCACTATCGACTTTTATGCCAATTTTTACTTTTGTGACAAACACGGTCAACTGCAACTACAGATCACCCTAACTAAGTCGTAAGTATACATATGTAGATACGCTGGGAAGAAATTAAGAAAATATAGAAATTTATGTATTGTCACCTACTTAAAAATTTGAAATCTGTGTACCTTTCATGAGCATGAAATGGTATTATAACTTTAGTCCGACAAACTGCATTTTTGTGGTTGCCGTGGAAAATTTCTGTTTCTTCAGCTTATTTCCACTCCAGTCTTAGTTGCTGGCTCTTCAAAATTTTATTAGCTTCGACTTTATAGAACTTAACTATAGTTGCTGTTTATTCATCTTATGCTTCATATATTCATAGTACTATGATATTGTCACAATTAAGAAACGTGGCCAACCTTTTCAAGCTGAGAAGTAACAGATCCCAGGATCGAGACCAGATAGATCCTGTTCATGGCGTACTGGAACATGAGTACGATTAGTTCGATATTGTGGTGGCGAGAGCAGTATTCCGCCACTTTAGTATGTGAGGGTGACACCTCACAGAAATGGCTGGTGGGCTAATGCTGCAATCGCCTCCGTCTCGTTAAAACCCTGGCAGGTCTTCAAGTACGTTCAATACACGTCGTCATTTAGTTGGCCGCACAGGTCCAGTTGAAATTTACTCCTGGTTTTGCACTGTCTTGGCTCTGTACACAATATCCCATAAGGACTTGTGCCAACCCTCGCGATGGCCTGCTCCTTTGAGAGAAGGGAACTTCGGGACACTTAAAAGCGACTGTGCTACGTGTGGGCATAGCGGCTTGAAGGGGAGACCCAACTGATTGGAAATGAATAAATTAAAACTAACTAACGAAACCGACGTTGATGTTATGCAGGAAGAATGCAGCGCATTCAGGAAGAGCAGTAGAGTTGTGCGCTCCCCGCCACAAACTCCTCTGCAGGCAAATGCCGGCACCACGAGCACGGAGAAAGCCGCCGACGTGGCGCAGAAGGCTACACCTTGCCAAACGGCAACTCCCGGCAAGCCGGGATAGCCGTCTTCAAACACCGGGTGCTGCAAACAGCGTCAGGCATGCCACCGCAAGCTTGGGAACTTGCGAAGGCAATGAAGGCGAGCAATTGGCCCAGACTCGGCTCGTCTTGAAGAAGATGCAGATTGCTGTCTCCAAGCAGAAGGATGTGTCCATGGACATAAAACGGGCATGGCCCGAGGAGAACTTAAATATACTAAGCTACCTCCGAGAGCAGCGCCGGAAGGGGTCTACCCTTTCCGAGCTGCAGAAGGCTGGCCCTGGCTCGCAGAAGAGAGGTCGAACTCGATCCGACTCCCCTACAGGCGAGCCGGAAAGGAAAAAGAATACCAATTATAATAATAATAGTAGTAATAATATTATTATTAATAATGGTAATAACGATAATAATGCACAGAAAACCGTACCAGATAATCAATGGAAAACGGTTGGAAAAAGCAGAAAGCCCAAGCCAGGGCCAGCGCCAGGTGAACCCTTGGTCAAAAATGGCGAGGCGACCAGCCTCTGCCACCAGGAGCGACCAATAGTGCTGCTAGTCACACTGGGCGCCGTAGAGCGCCTTCCTTGTCGCCTTCGCGGACGACGTGGCCGCCGTCATAACAGAAAGAAACGTCCAGCTAGCACAGCTCAAGCTAAACCAGGTCATGCGCAGGGTCAGTGGATGGATGAGCGATCACGGTCTGCAATTGGCTACGGCCAAGACAGAGATCGTGCTCCTCACCAGGAAACGGATCCCAACAATTATAAATATGATGGTCGGACCTCAACTCGTGACAACTTCTAGATCTACAAAATACCTAGGGGTGAAGCTTGACAGCAAACTCACATTCTGGGAACACATCCATGGAGTATGTGAAAATGCTGCGCAGAACACTGATGGCGAACATGAGCGGCCCGAAGCCATGCCGCAGGAAGCTGCTGATGACAGCAGTCCAGTCGGTGCTCCTGTGCGGGGCAGAAATATGGGCCGACGCATTCAAAGTCAAAAAATACCGGATTCAAATGTCTTCGGTCCAGCGCAGAGGGGCACTACGCATTGCTTCTGCATACCGTACAGTGTCCGCGGACGCGGTTCTAGTTATTTCTGGCATCATGCCAATTGAGCTACTTGCTTACGAGCGAAAAGAGATTTACAATCTCAGTGCCGTGATAGGTCGAGCAGCTGCCGCGGCAAGGGCGCGCGAGCAACTGATCCAGCAGTGGCAACAAAACAGGAACGCGAGCACAAAAGGTCGATGGACGCACTCCCTGATAGCCGACCTTCAAACATGGTTGAACAGACCGCATGGGGAAGTCGATTTCTACCTGACGCAATTCCTCACTGGTCATGGTTACTTCCGAGAATATCTTCATACAATGGGATGGGTGGACTCACCGTTCTGTCACTACTGTGGAA